GCCCACCCCCAAAAAAAAATAAAAAAATTTAAGTTTGTTTTTAAAAAATATTTTCAACTTCAAAATTTCAATTTTTCACCCCTACCCTCGACCCCCTACCACCCTCCCACCCCCCAAAAAAATTTAAGTTTGTTTTTCAAAACTATTTTCAATTTCAAAAATTATTTTCTACTCTAGTAAAAATAAAAGATATTTCTCAAAAATATTTTTCATTCATAAATCAAACACTAAAAATCTTTTCCAGAAAATATTTTCTACTCACCAACCAAACATGAGAAAATAAGTCAAAAATCAACTTGTTTTCTAGGAAAACATTTTCCATGGAAAACATTTTCCTTCATACCAAACACACCCTTAATCTTGTAATTTGAAACCATGAATGAAATCAACGTTTGGACATGCGAATGCGATTTCATATCATGAGATGAAATCCTAAATTCTCAAAAAAGCCAAATCATAATTTCACAATTTTCACATATAAAATGGACTCACAAGTTTATATTTTGTAAGGAAAAAAAAATCATTTGTATCTACATAATTTTTTGCGAGAATACTAGAGTAATGAAATTTTCACAAAATATGAACATAATGATATATTTACTAATGATATTGACCGACAAACAACTCAAAGTAAGAGTAATACACTACAACTCATTAGGGAACTCATGTTCAATTGTTACTTTTTTAGTGAACTAAAGTTCGATCATAAATGTTGTATTTTCTTTTAGAATAGCTTTGTGATAATGTATTATACTTTTGTTATGAACTTTTGCTTATTTGGTAAGATTGTATAAAGAGTTGGGCAATTTTGATAATTTGAGGATTTTATGTTTATGAGTAAAAACTACAGCTTAAGAATCCAAATTGCATGTACAAACAAAACTTCAATTCCATCTTATATGATTTTTTCTGAGAAAGGTAACATTCGTATGTATTGACTAAAATCAGTACAACATTGTACTGAAAACCATAATTACAACTTATCAACAAAACAAGATATCTGAATCTAAATCTAAATAGAGCCAAGGATCTGAATAATTGACTCAGTATCCTCTAAGTATCCTCTAGGTACACCTGTTTACACCATTTGATCTTCTGAAGATCACAACTTTTGCTATGAAATCATCTAGCATTTCTCTCTCTCTCCAGATTGTCCAGCAGATACAGGCTAGGACAATCCTCCATCTATTTTTGTATGAAGCTCCCCCACCTACCTCTTCCCAACTGTAGAGGAGGTGGGTGATTCTGTTAGGCATAATCCAAACAACACCCCTGAGGCTGATAAAAATCCTCCAAAGTTGGGTTGTTATCTTGCACGGTAAAAACAGATGGTTGGCTATCTCAACCTCTTCTCCATATAAATAGCATCTAGAGCACATAGAGAACTTCCTCTTCTTGAGATTTTGTTATGTCAATACTGCTTCTCTTGCCAGTAACCAAGTAAAACATGTCACCTTGAAGTAATTTTTATCTTCTAGATTTGTTTTCATGACCATTGTGGTGGCTGCTGGCCACCTTTATTCAAAAACTTGTGTTGAGTTCACCTTAACCATGCCTTTGCTATCTTTGTTCCACGATAGTCTATCAGCCTCATTCTTGTCCCTTTGAACTCTGCAAGAGCTCTAAAAATTCTTTCACAGTTTCGATTTCCCAGTCATTAAAACTCCTTCTAAACTGGATGTTCCATCCTTGTTGTGTCCAATTGTCAGCTAAACTCATTTGTTGATGTACTACCAACAAATACATCTCAGGGAAAAGGGTTTTTAAACTAGCATGTCCCAGCCATTTGTCCTTCCAAAAGGAGGTCATACTTCCATCGCCTACCCTCATAGTTGTGTTATTTCTCAAAAAGGCTAAAAGATTCAGATAGACCTCCATAAACTTACACCATAGGGTGTAGATACCTCCATTTGTTCTACTCTCCATATTTAGCTTTAATTACTTTGCTCTAATGTGCTTGAGGCTCTTGTGAGTATCTCCATAACCACTTCAACCTGAGTGCCTTGTTTGAATTTTCAGATTTCTCACTCCTAAACCCCCTTGCTTCTTTCCCCATAGATCCTCGTTCAATTTGACCAAGTGTCAAACAATAGTCATTTTCCTCAATCCCTTTCCAAAGAAAATCTCTCCAATCTTGTCTAAACTTTTTATCCCTCCATCAGAAATGGGAAAGATAGACATCATGTTAGTAGGGAGAGCATCCGAAACAAAATTGATGAGAGTGACTCGGCCACTTAAGGAGATGTGTTGAGATGTCAATCTAGTTAACTTCTTCTCACGCTTTTCAATCACTGAGTTCCAAATGTTCATGGACTTTAACTTGGCACCTAGGGGCATACCAAAGGAGATGTACTGAGATTTCCATCTAGTTAACTTCTTGTCACACTTTTCAATCACTGAGTTCCAAATGCTCATGGCCTTTGACTTGGCAACTAGAGGCATACATAGGTACATAAAAGACAGGGAGCCTACTTCCCCTCCTAGAATTCCAGACAACTCCAACATATTAGGAACTTCATTGATTGGGAACAGCTAGCTTGCTCTTTCTCAGCATCGTAGAAGATTAAGGTATCATCAGCATATTGCAGGTATGTGACTTCCATGTTGAAATTTGAACTTGGGGTTTGGTTTGTGACTACCTCAAAACCTCTTAGACATTCATTATTTTATTTTTTTGATAACCGAGAAATCCGCCTGTGACGCGCCCTTTGGACCAATCACAGCCTTCTAAACTCGGTGGATAATGGGCCCGCCCCTCGACCCTTCTCCACTTAAATACCGGGCTTTGCTTTGCATGGTGTGGGGATTGAACCTGTGACCTAAGCCACAAATACTCCACCTTTTGCCACTCGAGCTAGGCCTTGGGGGCCTCTTAGACATTCATTATAAAGAGAGGAGACAAAAGGATCCCCCTGCCTCAAGCCCCTGTTTGTAGGGGAAAAGCCTCCAGGTGATCCACTGATAAGAACTGAAAATCTTACCCAGTGAACCCACTTCCTTCCAAAACCCATACATGAGAGCATTTTCAGCAAAAATTCCCAGTTTACATGGTCATATGCCTTCTCAATATCCAATTTGCACAAAATTCCTGCCTTCCCTCGAATGATTCTGGAATCTACCACCTCATTTGCAATTAGGATAGCATCCATTATATGTCTGTTTTTTATGAAAGTCATTTGTTGAACATCTACCAGTTTATCAACACCTCTTCAATCTTTCTGTCAGCACCTTTGATAACAGCTTGTAGACACTACCTATGAGATAGATATGTTTGAAGTCTCTCAGTTCCTTAGCTCCATTCTTGTTTGGAATCAAAGCAATGTATGTGGCATTGAAACTTTTCTCAAAGACACCATGAGAGTAGAAGTTCTTGAAAGTTTTCATGATATCCTTTTTGTACTACATCCCAACATTTGATGTAGAACCCCATTGTGAAGTCATCTAGACCAAGAGTTTTGTCCATTGCACACATCTTCAAACATGAAAATACTTCTTGTTCCTCAACCTCCCCTTATAGAGCTTCTCTCTCCTCCTTAGTGATAACCGGACAATTGATCAAGTTAATTAAAGGTCTCCAACCTATGTTTTCAGAATACAACTTCTGATAGAACCCAATAATCCCCCCCCCCCAATTCCTAGTGGATCTATCAAAGGTTCTTCTTCAATCATCAGTCAATATTAATGCTTCTTTTATCTGCATTGGCCATTTCATGGAAAAATTTGGTACTTGTGTCTCCCTCTTTCAGCCAAAGTGCGCTTGATCTTTGTCTCCATGTTATCTCCTCATTTTTTCAGTGCTCTTCATAATCTATTAGAGAAGATGCCTTCAAAGCTGCCTCTGATGATGTTAAAATGTTGTTCTCCATTATTGTATATAGAATGGCTAACTTGCTCAATATTTGGACATTTTGCATTCTTGGATTTCCAAAGCTCATGTTGCTCCACTCCTTCAGTTTACCTTTTAAAGCCTTTAATTTACATCCAAGGATGTAATCAGGCTTCCCATGAAAGACAAATGACTCCCACCACCCTTTGACTCTTTCCACAAAACCCTCAGCATTCAACCACCAGGTATCAAACTTGAAATAGGATTTGTTGTGATCCCAAGCTCCACATTGTACTGCAATTGGATTGGGATCCAAGCATAATCTCTGCAACACAACTTGTTTAATTTTGTTGAAACTGTCATCCCACAACTTATAAATCGGAATCCTATCAATTCCAGAAGCAGCATTATTGTTGTCTCCTTCGAACTAGGTAAAACACCCCCTTCTAGTTGTAAACCCAAAAGATCCATGTCTTTAACGAAATTTGAAAAATCTATCATTGTTGGTGTTCTCCTCTTGCAATTTCTCTTCTCAGATGGAAATCTTGTTACATTGAAGTCACCACACACTGCCCATGGTCCCTCAAACAAACTTTTGACAGCTCTTATTTCCTCCTATACATGTTCTCTTTCAAACCTACAATTTGGAGTATATACTCCTATTATATGACACTTGCAATCCTGCAATAGAGCCTCAAGTTTACATGTAAGAGTGTAAGAGCCAATTTATAGAACTTCCCCTCTCGCTATCCCGTAACATCAGAATTCCCCCTCTAGTGCCACTAGCTTGAAGACAAGCATATTTGCCCCATCTTCCACCCCATAATTCTTTTATCATATCTTTAAACTCTCCCTCTAGCTTAGATTCCTGTAGAAAGACTATGTCGGCATTCTAGTTGAGAATTAAGCTCTTCACCAATCTTCTTTTATCCCCACTATTAAGTCCCCTTACATTCCAGGACACAAATTTTACTTTCATGGTAAAACATTGTCCTCTTTCCCCCTCTCTTTTCCATCACTTTTGAAATTGATGTCAACAGATGTGAGCCTTTTAATCTCCTAAATCCCCTTGTATCTAGACCTCTTAGTGATGGAATCGTTTTCCATCTTTCTAGCCTGCCTGCAGCTGTCCATTTGCATAAGTAACTCCAAAGACTCCTCATGTCCATGGAAATCGACTCCAAACATTTTCCCCAACTTAATCAGATTTTGTCTTACCCATGCAGATCTCCTCCTTTCGGATAGTAAGACTCTGATCCTATTGGATTGGTTCTATATCTTCCACCATCCACTCTTCAATTTGTGTGTCATTCTACAAGGAAACTATGGTGCTTTGGTCCTTTGAGATTTTCATAGCCAAATCAGCTTTGTCGCTGCTAACCTCCTTTGTTGTGGCTTCCGAAATGCACTCCAGATGATTTCCTGTATCTCCCTCTCATATGATTTCATATGATGATTTTATCTCACATGGCCAAACGGGCCCTAAGTAAATTATTGCAACTTTTTTCATACTTCAAAATAAGTGAATTTTTCAAAATTCAAGAAAACTATTGGGATTTTTTTCCATATTTACCCTTCTTTTTAATGAGGTTCTTAACTACTTTACATTTTCTAGGAGAATAGTTTACAACTTAATCCAAAGGTTGCAAAAGTAGAAAGTAGCCTTCAATTCATGTCCTAAAATATTTTTCTTAAGAGGTGTGTCATACCCAACAATTCACTTAATATGGACTAGAGGGAGTACTTGTTTTGCTATTTCTTGCATGTATTGATGATAGGCTCAGACCTTCCTATTAGCAATCATCACTATTGTTATATCATTTTTTCTAGAAAGAGTTACAGGCTTACAGCCTCATAAGCCTCATAACCATCAGTAGATTTAGGTAATATCTCCTCAACTAATTAAACATATTAGTATCCACTGTATAGTACATTAAATAGCCAAATTTACATATGAGGCACCCACAAGTGAAGAATATTATACAAACAGTAACACTTCTAAACCCAAAAAAGAGCAGAAAAAGAAGTTTAAAATACCACTTTCTGAAAGTTGAAATTTCATTTTGGCTTTGACTCTTTCAGCTGGAGTCTGTTCAACATAGAAACAAAACATAAACAACATCAGGCATCATAATCATTTTTTTGAGAGAAGGGTAACTTTGTATTCACAAAAAACTCATCATCTAAGAAATGATGAGGACATCAGGCTTCATAATCTAAAACAAAGTACTTACAGATCTTACAGGATACAATAAAAGAGTCCAACAAACAAACTTCAGGCTATCGATCCAAGATATTGGTTGCACCTACTTGGTAACCACTAACAATTAAGAGAACTTGCTGATGATGAAAGAAACACCAACCATGTAGTCATATAGGTGTTTTCCAGTCAATTATCACATATTTGAAACCTCAGATGGATAGTTAGAGGAAATATACGGATATGGGAGCATTGATAAAATCCACTATGCAACTAAAGTGTCATTTTTATGTGCTCAATAATCAGAAGATTCCTCGTTTCTTTAGTTTTGACAAATTTGTAAGTACATCGGTCTGAAACACATTTACAGAAATTAATAACGCTGGATAAGAATTTATACGACGCTTTACAATCCAGTCATCCTTATAGCATAAAACATAAAGGCAACATCTTCAGGCAACATTATCTAAGGGTGTGCATCGGTTGGTTCGGTTCAGTTTTGTGTATTATTGGTTCGGTTTATCGGGTTTTGGTCGTTATAGGTTCGATTTTCGATTTACCCAATAAGAAAATGTCCGTAAAATATTATATGACTTCTCACTTATGTAAATGCTTTGACATAGTGAAACAAGAAAGATAATGAGAAATTGCATCAATAAAAGAAAATATAGTACGAAGGCTATAATTACAGGTCACCACCAAAACATAGTATGAAATTTCTTATGTTCATCAAATTACAGACCTTTACGAACTTGCAAAAGCTACAACCTACAATTACAAACTAAAACTAAAATCAAATAGTCCAACAAGACTAAAACTAAAGCTAAAATCAAATAGCTACAATTGCGAACCTTTACTTTAGTCTTTAGGTTTTGAGTAATCAGTAAAGACTAGTAAAGCGGCCTAGTGTGACGTGGGTAGAGTACTAATAATTTGATATAGTTAAAACTCTGGAATTGTTAAACTGACTGCAAGCTTCTCTAGCGGACAAGATCACAGTTTTGGTCAGTAGCGGGATTCTCCTCAAAAACATACTGTCTAATTGAGATCAGGATGTACAATTGACACTTTTGAAGACAATGAGAATATTGTACCAATCTGCTTCACTCACTGCCTAGAATGTGTATTATATTAGCAGCAAAAATAGCACAAATTATAATCAAACCAAGTTACATTGAGAAATAAGAAAGAAAATTACCATATTTTGATAACCTTCAATCAATTTGCTATAATCTACCGTAGCAGCTCTATCTTTCCCAACTTTCTCCGGTCTTCCATCCCGTGGTGACACACTCCTTGTCCTCGTTGTACTCTGCTTCTCCTTTTGCCTTTCTCTTTTCCTTTGTTTATCTCTGTCTCTACTTCTACTTCTACTTCTACTTCTAGACATATGTGGACGCTTCGACCTATAAGCATCCCGGTTTTCACTCCGCCTCGAATGCCTCTCTTTGTCTCTGCTCCGGCTTCGACTCCGGCGCCTTAACTTCTGGGTTGGACTCGGGCTTCTCCGGCTGGAACGTTTTTCGCGACTTGGACTTGTACTTCTAGTGGATTTTCCTTTGGAAATCCTAGAAGAAAGGCAATCTTTATTGTCTTTAGGTTTCTTCTTGAGCTTGTTTTGGATAGTTTGGAGCTGAGCTTGTTTTTCGAACTCGGTGGTTTTGGACGGGCTTGATGCCCTGACAAAACTACTCAGAAATGAAGAGGAAGAAACGAGAGCAGAGCCACGGATGGGTACGGCGTCATTTGAAGTTGAAGAAAAGCCTAGACCTTGCTTGAATCTTGCGGCGCCTTCTCCTTTACGTGTGAGATCGTCGTAGTATGCTGCGGCCTTTTCTTCCTCCATCTTATGGCGGAGCTGGGGGTAGTGCACCGCCGCTGACGGTGAGGTTTTTCTCTTCGTAGCAAAAGACCAAATGGCTGGCCTGTTGATATGAATGTATGGGCCTCAACTAAAACCCCTTATTTTGGCTGATTAATTAGTCAATTACACACAAGTGTATTTATCCATGCTTAGTGGTAATAAAAAGTTTAAATATTAATACTAAAAAAAATTAATCTTTAGTAATTTCTTTTTATTATATATTAGATGAATGTTGAATGTGAATACAAAATTCTCTAATTGCCATAGAATAAAAGGAGAATAATAAACTAAAATAACAAATGAAGTAAATGAGAAAAAGAGTTGTATGTTTTGCTTGTGTAATATATATTACCCTTATTTATAAATGGCAGTTTGTAAAGGACGAGCAATGGCAATTTTGTAATTTTCTTGATTATTTGGGGCTATTTCTAAAAGTGATTCTACTCTGCTATGTATAATATACCATTGTTCTTCATTCTTCACAGAGATTCTAGAATCTGCCATTCTCTCTCGCTCGCTCTTTCCCTTTTCCTTCTCAGGCTTTCGTTGATGCTCTTCGCTCAATCCTAATCATCATTTTGAATTTCTCTGGTTCATCTCCAATTAGTCTTCGGTGTTACTATATTTTGAATTACCTGTAAGTTTTCTTCATTTTTCCAGATTTTTCTTTTCTTAAATCTATACACTTCTGTGAAATGGACCTACAATGGTAGCTATTTTCATCTTTTTTTTAAAAAGATTATTAGGTGTGCATATCAACAATTTTATCTAATTTCCTCTTGCATGTTTGAGAATAAAACTAAATACATAGATGACTTTGGACTTTTTATGCACATAATGCAGCTAAGGAGATTTCTCTGGTGATAGTTTGGGTCACTTTCATTTTTTCAGTAGTTTTAGTTCAGCTACTTCGACCTGTTTCGGGGTTAAAAATGAAGTAGAGGAAGGAATGGAATATGCAGTTAAAGTGTTTGGTGAAAGTCTTGATCTTCGGTATCAATTCTATATAAGTTGCACGAACATTTTCACGAAGTTGTTGTACCAAAGAGGTTCGCCTTTCAGGAAGGTAATTTTCTTTTCATTTTAATTTTATAGGAGAGAAAACAAAATAATGTATTGTACTTTATAGTTCATACTATGTACACTGATTTGTGGAATAAATTAAAATTACATCATGACATTGTTAAGTTTGCAAAAAAGACAAACTATCAAGTTACTCATGTTGGCGGTACAACTAATACAATAGGTGACTCTACAATTGTGGATAAAATTTGATTTTGAGCACAACATGTGTTTCATCGAGATATTTGCTGGAGAAAAGGTAACCAAGCATGTCTTACAACAGTTACAAGTCACAACTAATACATTCAAATTTTAAGGCAATTGTCTAAGGTCCTAATTACACCGGCTCTTTGGTGGAAATCCTATATAAATTGGAGGCTCAATTTGCCGCCTTCATTTCATGCAAATTATATGTGAAGCCTAAACAACTGAATTACTTTTCTGAATACTTTTATTTGTAGTTGATTATGTTGGTATGTGTAAGTGCGATATTTATGATTGGTGTGTTATATTTGCTTGCATCTGTATTTTTCACTCTTGCTATCCTCAAACTTTATGTTAAAAAGAAAAATTAGATAAGTAAAAATACTGCAGGTTGAAAAGTGATGTTCAGTTTATGCCCTTAGCGTTTCACATGTATTCTCTTCATTAACATTGGAATATAATTTTTATTTATGCCTTCCCATGGAGATGACCCATTTCAAGGTAATTATTCTGTTTAGTTGTGTATCCTCCGTCTCTTTGAGATCACCTATGATAGTTATAACTATAAAATTATATTAATGCATATATATATATATGTAGTAGGAAATATTTTCACAGTATTAGTTGTTTCCAAGTATACAATACACTTTTCCTTGTGTACTTTTTTGTAACATATTTGCCTACTCCGGCCCCTGGGCCTTCAGGTACATCCAGTGTTGTTCCTTATGATACCCCTAGTTCCTCTGCTGCTACATTGCCTCCTAGATCTGCTGCTGCTGCTACTGTTTCCCGGTCCCCGCTCACTCAAGCTGCATTACTTCGAATGGGGCATCTAGCCCATTTTGCCGATCATCGTGCTGCCAGACTTGAGGCCTCCATTTCGGGCATGATTCAGACTGCCCTTGCTGATGCTGTGACACCCTTGAGCGCTACCATTGATGCCCATACGGCTAGGATAGTAGTGTGTGAGCGTGACCAAGGGGCCACTGAGGAGATGACGACTCTAAAGGCCGTCGTTGCTGCATTAAGGAGAGATGTGGACTAGCTGAAATCCACCGATATGTCCATGATTTTTGGGATGGTGGAGATCCCAGATATGCCAGTTGAGCCAGATATGCCTCCGGCTAACACCGGAGATGATGTTAGAGTTGAGGAGGCAGCTGATCTCGAGTCTGAGGCAGAGACCGACGAGGAGCAGATAGAGGTGAGGGAGGAGAGCATATATGGAGATTTGCCAGATCTAGAGGAGACGATTGTACAATCGGTGATCCAGACATCACTGACAGACACGTCCATGGCAACTCCTAGTGGACCCACTACTTCTGATGTGACTCAGGGTGCTGAGACCCAGGTTCAGAGCACTACACCGGGCACTGATACCCAGACAGATGGAGTGACTGTTTAGACATGATTTCTCTTTACCTCCCTCTCTATCTTATTTTTGCTGACTTTTTGGACACTTTATTGCATTTGAGGACAAATAGCTTTTGTTTTGTGGTGGGGTGAGGCCCACCTTTTGTGATTATTGTTTTGGTTATATATTGGGTTTTTGAGCTATAAATTGTGTTTAGCACTATTTTTGTGGATGATTGAGCTTGTGGCTCCTTGCTTTAATTGTAAATGATTTTTGGACCCTTCTGAAAAATTTTGTGTCACCTCTTATTTGTGTTGGAATGTGGTTGTTCTCTTGCAAATTTGAGTATCGATCTTGATCAATACTGGTGACTTGAATAGTGCTCATAATCAAACATAAATGAATGTGCAGCTACGATGAGGCTAAATGAAGTTGCATAGGCAATATGTGAACTTTTTGCATCTCGTTGTGACTAGCCAATTATCAATTTGAGTCTCTTGTGATGAACATTGCACACTAGCGAAAGTGTGGAATCTTGTTTGACATTGGTGTCAATGCCTTGTGTGATAAGCTTACCGTGAACCATGTGTGATGACACCTAGAATTTGCTCTGTTGGTCCGAGCACACTAGCGAAAGTGTGGAGTTTTGTTTTACTTTAGTATCGATGCCATGTGTGATAATCTTACCTGGAACCATACATGACAACACCTAGAATTTACCATATTGGTCCGATTGACTAAGTAAGACATTCTCTTGATATGATCTTAGGCAACTTTGAAGAGTGTGAAACAATTTGACATTATACCTCTTTTGTTGCCAACCTTGTGAGTGTGTGGTCCTTTCTTGAACACCCTTTGAGCCTTACCTTTTTTCTTGGAAGAAACTTGATGCAAATTGTGACCTTTCTTTATTCATTACCCTTAATCCTCATGATTTGTGGTTTGTTTGAATAGCCAACTTAGGCCAAAAGCCTAAGTTGGGGGTGTTGTGAAAAGAGAAGGTAAATCAAGAAATGCAAAGAAGTCCCTTTGACCCATGGTTTTGAGAAAGATGGAACCCCCTCCATAAAAAAAAGAGAAAAAGAAGAAAAGAATGAAAAAGTTGTGGAATAAAATTGTGAAAATGCAAAAGAAAATGGGCTGACTTTTGAGCATGAATGAGAATGATGAAGAAGAGGGAAAAAAGTGTTGTTCATACCACATTTCATGAAGATAGCATCCACTGAGCCTAAATGACCATACCTTTACACTTAGCCCCGTTACAAGCCTTGAAAAGACCTTTTTGATCTTGAGTGAGCTGAAATAAATGTTGATTGGAAAATAAGGGCAAACCTATGGGTAGAGTCAAACATGTGTTCATCTTTGTCAGTGTCAGTGTCGATTGTGATTCCGAAGCTATAAATTATTGAACCATTGTGTGTGAATATGAAAGCATTCTTTGTGTGAGGGCATTTGAGTACCTTTGTTGAGCTTGAACTTGCATTTGAAGCAAGTATTGTAAACTTGAGAATCTTTGATAATGGTGAGTTACAACTTGAATCTTTTGAGTGCACAATTGATCCTTGCATGAATAAGTTGAGTCTTTTTGTGTGCATTCATGATTGAGTCTTGTGTAGCACTATTTGAGACATCCTTTTTTGAAATGTTGAACTTGAGTTTTACTTGAGAACAAGCAAAAGTTTAAGTTAGGGGTGTGAATGAGTCCACGAATTGGACTCATTTAGGGCTTTATTTGGATAAATTTAGTGTCCTCAAATGCTTATTTTGTGCCAATAACTGATGTAAATCCTTGATTTCAGGTATTTGGATTAATGAACAAAGCATGGACACTAATGAGCAAAAAGGAACAAGGCAGTTAGGGCTTTATTTTAATAGATTTAGTGTCCTCAAATGCTTATTTTGTGCCAATAACTTATGTAAAATCCTTGATTACCAGGTATTTGAATTGAGGAACAAAGCATTGACACTAACGAGCAAAAAGGAACAAGTTAGCTGAAAGAACGAAGAAAAGAAGGCCTGTTGATCGCCTAATCCATTGGGCGAGTCGCCGAATGACTATTATCTCGCCTAAAGTTCTAGTGTGCCAAGCCCTGTAGGAGAAAATCAAGTCGGCGAGATAAAGGAGCAGTCGGCGTGTCGCTGAACGGTTCCGCGATGCAGTGATTGGATTGCCCAAAGTTACAGAACTTGAGGATGCTGAAGGCCAAAGCAAAAAGGCGATAGAACTGACCAAAGGGCGGATCGCCGAGTTGATCGGCCATCCCAACTTACTGCTCCGAATGGCCCTTCGCAGCAGATTTTTGGCGACTATAAATACATTTTCAAACATCATGTTTAGTATCAATTTTTATTCTGAACATTCATTAGAGTGATTTTTGAGTTTGAACTGAGAGTATTGAGACAGTATTCATCCTTAGCTTTGAAGAATTGAAGTTTTCCATTTTTGAGAAATTGAAAGTGGGTTTTTGAGATTCTTC